GTCGAGGCGCCGGCAACACCCAAGAAAATCACCACCGTCGAGGCACCGGCAACACCTCAGAAAATTACCACCGTCGAGGCGCCGGCAGCACCCCAGAAAACCACAACCATTGAGACGCCGGTGGCGACAGTGGCCAAAGCGTTGACAGAGGGAAAAAAGCAATAGTCTTTTGATGCTGCAGAAATTTGATTGGATGAATGTTAAACTAGAGAAGAAGGTTGAGGAAGGAACGGGAATTGATTTGGTTGCATATGGAACATTTTTCTTATTCATTTTACGATTCAGAGATTCTGAATGGCAATGCTTGTAATTTGCTTCCATTTTCATAATCAAAGAGCAAAAGCCATTGAAAATGTTAACTAGATTGTTAACTAATTCGGTTGTCTATCTCCATCACTATTTGTTCTAATTCTATGTCAGTAAATTTAGTTAACTGACCTATTCAATTTAGAACAAGAAGTATATTTTACTAAAAAAAAAAAAGAATTTGACAGAGGGAAAAAATCAAGCTAAAATACACCATTTTTTCGTAAGTTTCAAAAAAGACATTTTTGGTTGTTAAGAATTTTATATGGCATAGTTGAGATGGCAATTTTTAAATCACGTGACAATTTTATTAATTTTGAGTCTCTATCACTTTTTTTTTCCCTTTCACCTTTTCTCCATCCTTTCTTTCTTCTTTCTCCTCCCGTTCACTGTTCTCAAACATCTCAATTTTTCATTTCGGGAAAATTAAGAAATTAAATTGATTTTATACCTAAATCAAAGGTATGGAATGAAGTAGAAATTTACAAAATCTTAAAGTTAAAAAAGAACAATAAATAAAATAGAAATTAATGGTGTGTTTGGGAGTAATTTTAAAAAAATTAACTATAGTTGTTTTTCAAAATCAATTTTAAAAATCAATTTTATAATTTGTCAAACATGATCTAGTAAATGTATGTAGGGAGCTAAACAGGATGAGTGTTGTTGAAATTGATATGGAATCAAATATTGAAATCTTTCACATTTATAATTCCATAAATCCAATGATTCAATATTGAAATTAATAGTTAATAGATATTTTTACATGTGAATTTAAGCGGTGCGAAAGGTTGCTTTTCAAGTGAGATAATAGAAGAAGACGAGTGGGAGGACATAGCACTCGGGCTCACTATGCCCTTCCTCGTCTCGGGATGCCGAGATCACAAGGAAGGATCCCACAGTCTGCTTAAAATATCTGGAGCATAATATGTCAATCAAAATACCATTAATATAAATATTAATACTGACACTATGATTTACTGTCTATTCACAAATTCGAACTAATTTTAAAAATATGATTTCCGTTATATTTTACCGGGATATTTGATAATGACGAAAGCTTAGGGAAAAGATCAAAAAGTAAATTTAAAAACAAAATATAAAATGCATTACAATATATTTACATATTATCTACTTTTACTACTTCGAAAGGAAAAAGAATTTTTCGTTATTCCTTTCATTTTTTACAAGGCAATATTAAGAAAATCCTTTTAACAGTGGCTTTTTCCAAACCTACCAAAAGCTGAAAAAAAAAATAATAATAAACAATAAATTGGCCAATAAAAAATATATATGTAACTCAGTGATAATCACTGTTAGATATTTAATGACTAAGAGAGATAAATGAAAAAAAATTGATTTCTTAAAAAATAATGAATTGTTAAATATTTAATGGTGGTAGGGATAAGGTTGCTCAAGGAGGAACCAAAGTATTTTCCATACGGAACCGTTCAAATTTGAGCCAAGTATGGAGAAGCTTGTCAGATATGGTGGGAAAGTGGAAATTGAAAGATATAGTGAAAGAGTACCTTGTCGTAAATATTTGAATAGAACGAACCGGTTGAGAGTTTGACTAGCTGTATCGACATTTTATGAGGTAAAGTGTCAATCCAACTAGTACACTAACTACATTAAACCACCAAGATCCAAAAATAAAAAAAGAGAGTGAGGGTCAAAGGCTCGAGCAAGAGCCTCATGATGTGCCTGACCGACGAGTCTGCCATCTCTACCACTATTATATAACTATCTTCTATTATCCATATTATATAACTATCTTCTATTTCTAAACAATGTGATGTAATCAGTTTTACTTGTCTATATGAACAAGTAATGTAATCAACTCTATTCGCTCATTAATCCATCCTCTCTAATCTCTACTTGTTCAAAATTATTTGAAAAGTTTTAGTTTTGAAAATTTACCTAGAGTTTGAAATAAGTTTAAATTCACCTAAGTTCTAAAGTAAGAATTTTCTTTAACTTGTTGCTGAATATTTCATTTTCGTCCTCCTACCAATTCTCATCATTTGTTTCATCGCCTAGTTCACCTATTTTCAAAAATTCCCTTTTTCCACATTTCTCATATTTTCAACATTTTAAACATTCTAAATTTTAACATTTTCAACCAAGTAATACAATCGTTTGAAATAAAAGAGATTCAACAATAATTATAGACTACGATCATTCACAACTATTTAAGACATAAGACATGTATTATTTCTTTTAACTTTACTAATTTTTCTCAATTCCTCGATCATTTCTCGAGATCACTCACCACTCACGTGATTTGAGTTGACATTAATCTAATCTCAAAACACAAATCACCTTGTGAAGCTTCACAATCACATCGATCATGTAATTCCCGAATCTAATTGGAAGAATTTCCTTCAATTTCAACATTGTCGGTGAGTTCTATTTTTCTTTTTAACAATTTCATTTAAATTAGTTATCTTAACCGACACGTGGCTGGTCAGATATTTGGGGGCCAGTTCCGTAGTTCATAAATAACAATTTTGCTTTACCAAACGAAGGTCTGAAAGAGGGCGGCGATGGAGAAAGCTGTGGTGGTGACCACGGCGGCGATTTTCTGCTTCCTACTGCTTTCTGCGGCCACGGTGACCGTCTCCGCCGACGCTGCCGACTGCATCGACGGCTGCTTCACCGCCTGTGTCCAGAGAGACAGTAAGTAATTTCTTTCCATTTCCTTGCCCTAAATTTCTTCGATATCTCAATTTATCCCCAATTTTCGAAGCCCTAGTTTGTTTCTCTCAGCGTGTTTTAGGCATCTCCGATTCTGAAAACTTTTCAATTTGTTGTAATTTCTGAAATTAGTTCCGATTCTCTTGATATCTTCCGAGAAAGAGAGTCGGATGATCGTCTCAGCGATTGATGATTTGAAATCAATCAAAGTCTAAGAAATCTGTTTGTTGTAAAAGTAAACTAAGAAATCGATACTAAAAAAAAAACAACAAAAACTAAATTCGTTGTTGGAGGGCGGGGTACTGAAAGAATTAGTTTTGAAATATTGTGTTTTTTTCTCCCCTAAAGTTGATTAAAATGTCAAAACTGTTCTTAAAAAATAAAGTATAATTGGTATTCAAATTTGCCAACCTGAAAACCGGTATTCAAATTTATTTTTTAAACTTCTATGTAATCTATTGAAGATTTTGTAGATTAAAATATGATTTAAACAAAGAGTTAAAATAAATAAATAAATTTTTTCTCAAAAAAATAAATAAATTGATTGTGTTTGTGACTGTGTGCGGGTGCAGCGAGACTGATGCAGCGTTGTGAGGGCAAGTGTAGAATTAAATGCGGTCCAGGTATTCTTTTTTTCCTTTTTCTTTTTCTTTTTCTTTTTTTTTTGTCATTTTAACTTATCTTAATTTAATTATTGATGTGACATACAATTTGATACTGCCTGTTTCTTCTGTCCTGGATGATTTCGATATTCATCCTTTATTTTTATCAAATTTCATTGTACTGCATTTTTCTTGATGGAGCTGAGTCCTGAAAGTTTGTTCTTTTGTAGTTTTTGTTAAAAATTAAAAAAAATAAAATAAGTGATTAAACAATACTGCGCCCTATAGTGCATGAGCAACAAAAATAGTGGGTTTCGCATACGTTTTAACTTAAATATTTCTTATATTATATTTTTTAGAAAAGTATGTTTATAGAAAAAATTAATTGAGAGTGAATGGCTAGAATCATTTTTACTCTAAACAAAATCACTTCCATTTTAAAATAGGATGTTCTAGAAAAATTTATTAGTGATTCCTAGTAAATCATGTGGAGGGTGATTCTCAATTGATTTTTACTAAAATAATAATAATAATAATAATTTTTCAAATGATCATTGTTTTAATTTTCAAAATTGTCTAGAATTTTTATTGATTGGATTTTTTTTTTTGGCTAAATATATGTTTGAGTCTAATGTTTATGCATTTTTTCAATTTAGTTCATATTTAAAAAGTTTCAATTTAGTTTTAACTTTTTTTTCCAATCTAGTTCCTTCCTCACTGTAGGTAAATATTAAAATTGATTTATGATAAATTTATACTTATATGACCTTATCTAAAATTTATAAGAAATTTGTAGAAATTTCAAGTTTTTTCTATTCACTTACTATTATGTCATATATCTATCTCTATCATCGTTGGCTAATTTGGGATGAAATTGAAATTTGTATACAATATGGACTAAATTGAAAAAACTTTAAAACAAAATTTTTACTCCTCACTTCAATTATTATCCATTAAAATTGGTAGGAGCAAAATTGTTTGTTAAGAATTAGATTGTTAATATAAGTCAGATGTACCATAATTTTACAATATAAATGATGTGAAATGTGACTTTGCAGATAGTAAAGTTGAAGATATTACTGATTGAGAGGGCAACTAGAGAGCTTCAATGTGAAGGGAAACCATAGCTTCCTCCATTGTAATTAAGAAAGAGAGATGAGAAAGAATAACTCTCCTAAGCCAATGTCATATTTGTGGATGCTACGTGTTGCATTTTCTACTTTCACATAGAATAAGTCTTCTCCCATGTTGGATATATATCTATATTTATACTATATTAAAAGTAAGATCTTGAAAAACTATTTTTAGATTGTTTTATCCTTTATCAAATTTTATATTTACACAGGTATTACTAATTAATTACCAACAATTGTTGAGTCATATATTTAATCTAAATCACAAATGAATGGTCAAATATGAAAAGTTTTTTTTTTTAATTTATTAATTTAAGAGTTACTACAATTTATTGTATGATATCAAAGGTATTGAAATTTCAACGATTTTTACAATTATTTTATTTTTAAAGACTATAAAATAATTTCCTTTCGCTCCTTTTCTATATCAATGACCAAAAATATTACATGACGTGTTGGAAAAAATGACTACAAATGAATATTTATAATAATAATATTATTATTTTGTGAGGTTTATTATTTAATTCAATAATATTCTATTCGGTGAATTAAGTTTTAGTAATATATTATATTCATGAAAACGTATTAAAAAGGAAAAAATATATATATATACACACACTCATAAACACAATTTTTATTTAGATATGATATTTAAATACACGTACAATAATTTATATCCAAATAAGTACAATTAACTTTATTAAAAGTGAAAATATAAAAATATCTTTAAGTATTCATCGAAATTTGTTCGTTTTGGTCCTTGTACTTTCTACTTTGGTTCCTGTGTTTTGAAAATGTTCATTTTGGTCACTGTACTTTTAAACAGTGACAATTTTGATCCTTTTATTTTATTTTTTCTATCACAATTTCAACACCACATTATAATCAATATATTTCTTACAAAGTACAGGACTAAAATGAACCGAGGCTAAAAATACAATGACCAAAATAATATTTTAACCAAAATTTAAATACATCATAAAATTTATAAAGGTATAGAATGCATAAACACGTATTGATTTTCTTCTTTTGATACTATTGTTCTTTTCTTATTCTTTTGTAATTAGTTTTTTCCTTATTCGAAATACCTTAGCTTTGGATTTGCCCATAAATTCATTTTTATGAGAAAAGTAGCACGTTTATTAAATTACAATATTCAATTTGATAACTTTAGATTTGTTAAGTTATTAATTATTAATTCAGTACCCAACTTTATAAATATATCTCATTATAGCCACCTCTATGAAGAAGATTATTGACACGCTCTTCACAAATTCAACTATTTTAGTAATTTATGGAAAGGACGGTAAATCGCACCCGCAATATAATGTTTTAAAGAGTCGTTTCATGTTGGATTTCCAATTTAGGGGATGAGTTGGGGCCATATTAAAGATATATATATATATTATTAGTGTATACTACAACATTTAAATAATCATAGGTAAATTCAATAATAGATGTTTGGTCGGCATTCCACCCTTCCTCCTCTGGCTTACTCAAAAGGGGTGAGATCTATAGCTTAGAGGATTAGAGCACGTGGCTTCGGAAGTTCTTGCTCGACAAAGAATCCTTCTAATAATTTCGAATTTCGAATTTAACCATTTAAAAGGTGTGCATAAACTACTTTTGTGTTGAGCTGAAAATATATAATACGTGCCTTGTAATAAGACTAGTTAATAGTATACTAGAAAACGCATCTAGTTATGCGCTTCTCAATTACCCACTCTGGTTCGAGGATCTCCAATTGGATTTCAACGATCAAAGACGCATCATCCAGCGGAAAATGGCTAGAAATTCTCCAACTTTACCACGACATTAGAATCTCTGGAGCTCATTTGACAGACCCTTCAGTGTTCCCTTCGATTCTCAAGGCCTGTTCAAATCTCTCTTTCAAACTTGGAACCGCTATGCACGGATGCCTGATCAAACAGGGGTACGAATCTTCCACTTCCATCGCTAATTCCACCATTGACTTGTATATGAAGTGGGGTGAATTAGTTTCTGCTCAGCGCGCATTTGATTCTCTGAAGAACAAAGATTCAGTATCTTGGAACGTGATGGTTCATGGGAATTTCTCGAACAGGAGCGCAGAGGCAGGTCTGTGGTGGTTTATGAAGGGTAGATTTTCCCATTTTCAGCCCAATGTTTCTTCGTTGGTACTTGTACTTCTCGCATTTCGTGATCTTAAATCATACAGGGAAGGTTTTGCGCTTCATGGTTATGCAATTCGCTGTGGATTTTGTGCCATTATTTCGGTTCAAAACTCTCTGTTGAGCTTGTATGCTGAAGTTAATATGTGTTCTGCCCACAAGATGTTTGATGAAATGTCCTATAGAAACGATGTCGTTTCCTGGAGTGTGATGATAGGAGGTTTCGTACAAATTGGGGAAGATGAACGTGGGTTGGAGATGTTTCGGAATATGGTAACAGAGGCTGGCATTACACCAGATGGGGTAACTGTTGTAAGTGTTCTTAAAGCTTGCACCAACTTGAGAGATATTTCACTTGGAAGAATGGTTCATGGGTTTGCGATTTGTAGAGGCTGGGAGGATGATTTGTTTGTTGGGAACTCCTTGATAGACATGTATTCCAAGTGTTGTGATGCTGTTTCTGCCTTTAAAATTTTCAAGGAGATGCCGGAAAGGAACATCGTCTCATGGAATTCAATGTTGTCGACGTATGTCCTCAATGAGAAGCATTTGGAAGCTGTGGCATTGCTTGGGACAATGGTGGAAGAAGGGGTTGAGAAAGATGAGGTGACTTTTGTAAATGTTCTTCAGATAGTTGAGCATTTTCTTGACCCATTGCAATGCAAGTCTGTCCACGGCATGATTATCCGACGGGGGTGGGAATCAAACGGATCACTGGTGAATTCAGTGATCGATGCTTATGCAAAATGCAATCTGGTTGAGCTTGCAGGTACACTTTTTGATGGGATGAAGGAGAAGGATGTTGTTGCTTGGAGCACTATGATTGCAGGGTTCGTCCACTGTGGCCAGCCTGACCAAGCGATATCGGTCTTCAAGCAAATGAACAAAGAGGTGAAACCGAATGAGGTTTCAATTATGAATCTTATGGAGGCCTGTGCTGTCTCTGCTGAATTGAGACGATCGAAATGGGCTCACGGTATAGCGGTTAGGAGAGGTTTGGCTGGTGATGTAGCTGTTGGAACTGCCATTATTGACATGTACTCAAAATGTGGAGATATAGAAGCCTCCATCCGAGCCTTCAACCAAATCCCAGAAAAAAACGTCGTGTGTTGGAGTGCTATGATATCTGCATACGGCATCAACGGTCTCGCACATGAATCATTAGTCTCGCTCGAGAAAATGAAACAAAATGGCATGAAGCCAAATGCTGTAACAACGCTGTCATTGTTATCTGCTTGTAGCCATGGAGGATTACTAGAAGAAGGCCTCTCTTTCTTCACATCCATGGAGAAGGAACATGGAGTAGAGCCTGGTTTGGAACACTACTCGTGCGCCATCGACATGCTAGCCCGAGCGGGGAAATTCAACGATGCTTTAGAATTGATTGAGAGGATGCCTGGACAAATGGAAGCAGGTGCAAGCATTTGGGGGACACTCTTGAGCTCTTGTAGGAGCTATGGAAACGTTGTGCTTGGCTCAGGAGCAGCCTCTCACATTCTTCGACTGGAACCTTCGAGCTCGGCTGGCTACATGCTGGCATCGAACTTGTATGCGAACTGCGGTCTAATGACCGAATCTGCAAGAATGAGAAGGCTGGCGAAAGAGAGAGGAGTGAAGGTTGTTGCTGGATATAGTTTGGTGCATATAAATTCAGAGACTTGGAGATTTGTTGCTGGAGATGAGCTCCACCCAAGAGCTTATGAGATCTATTTAATGGTGGATCAATTGCACAGTGTAATGAAGATTGATTATTTGAAAGTTTTAGATCCACTTCTCAATATTGATGAATCTAAGAGTGATCAAACAACACAACAATTTCAGAAATTAAAGGGTTAAAAATCTACTTTTCTTTTATCTTTCATGGAATCAAGTGAATAATAGTAACAATAATAATAAATAATTATAATAAATTTTGATTAAAATCCCTTCATGTGTTTTTCGCTCACTCGTGAAATTTAGGCAAACATCAGAGTCTATATTTGATACTTATGGGTTTGTTTATCAACGTGTCACAGATTTAACGATGGCTACGTAAACCCATATTATAATGTGAATTAAAGTCTATAAAACTCTTACTAATTATAAACTTACAACCCATACTAATTAAAGTCTATAAACCCAAATATATGCAACATAAATTTTTTTATCTTGGACCTCACTAAGTCGAGTAAAGGGGAACATCCCGACAATTATATACCTACAAATTTACAAACTAAATAAATACGATATTCAAAGCTCAAAATATCTACTTTCTAATTCAACCAAAACAAAGTTATTATCAAACAATTCGAGAAGGTAATTAGTGGGGAATTCCTAAAGTGCCCCTATAATGCCTTAGGGACACAAACTTTATGCATTATTATGTCTTTTAAGATCAGACAAACACCATTTTTATTTTCTATTAATTATATTTCATCTTTTAGCACTTCAACATTCAACCTATTATTCTAAGATTTTCTTTATGAAAACTTCTTTTAAGTTCTATTTTTTTTTTAATGGTGGACTAATTTTAAATTTTAAACCTTTTTTTTCACTCCAATCATCTCTCCATGTCAGAAAGGATTCTTCCACTTCTTCTATTTTTTTAAATCCATTCATTCTTTTTTTTTTATCAAAATTTTTCAGTCACTTATATTTAAAAATATATATACACACACAATTTTAAATTCAGAAGGGTTAGTGTTAGTGGTATAAGCAAGTTGGTTTAGTTCGATTTAAATTTAAAATAATAATAATAATAAAACCTCGACTTGCATTCCAAGTAAGCAATAATGGGCTGAAAATATAAAATATTTATACAAATAGTATAGAACTAAGAATAAGATTTAGGTCTGAATTTTCATAGACTTTCTTTCAAACTTCTGTTGGGTTTTAGTTCCAAAATTTTCAGTTTTAGTAGGTAAAATTAGCCTATAAAATTATTTTAGTCATTTTCGACTTTGGTTTATTTTGTTTCATGTATTTTCAATTTTGTTCATTTTAATCTACGTAGTTTTCAAAATTCATTTTTGTTTTTGTACTTACAAGAAATGACAAATAATTTTAGCACGATAATTCACTCACTACATTTCTTAAAATATAGCTATAAATTTATATTAAATGGTTTCTAATTGGGATATAAAATTCGTATTAATTAAAATTTTGCAAATATAGATCAAATGACTTTCTAAAGTATAAAGATGAAAACAGACGTTTTGGAAGTACATAGATAAACATGGACGGGACCAAAGCAAAAAAGACAAGAAAGTACTTGATTACTTAATAGTGATGATCAAATTTTATCTCCAACAACATTCAAAAATTGAAAACTCATTATTTTATAAAAAGTCTTACATTTCTCTGGCCTAATTATCAAATATTTAATGGTATTAAGGACAAGATTGCTCTTACCTCGACAACTCAAATATTTTTTTTTAGGACAAATAAATCAAAACAATTTTTAATTTTTTTTTAGCGAAAGTTTCATCATTAAGCAGGAAAACTCAAAAACTAAAATAAGACAAATTAAATGGAAGCAACCCAAATGGGCGAGACACGTCATTTGAAATGGATGAGAATTACATTTAAATTTCTTGGTAAGATTCAAATTGGCGTCAAATTGACGTCAGAGTAGGTTAAAATAAAGACGTAAAGCAAATGAAATCTGCAAAAATATAATATATATAATTTATTTTTTATTATCTTGTTTTTTCTAAAATGTTTTATTAAATAATAATAATAATAATAATAAGGTTAAAAAACACATCTAATCCCTGAACTTTCACTAAAGTAACAATTTGGTCCTCGAACTTTCAATAGTAATAATTTGGTCCCTGTACTTTTAAATTGATCACAATTTAGTCCCTACCGTTAAAAAATTGGTTAGATTTAACGGAAGTATGACGTGGCTTATCCATGTGTGCAAATGAAATGGCCAACTATGCAGGTTGGTTCAATCTCG